ATTTGTTATCTTTATTTTTTTAATCAAAGAAACTTACCTCTCAATGGACCTTTATTAATTTATGTATTCAGCTGTTGGATTGTTTATTTCTGGGATTACAGGCAGTAGATATAACTTGCAAGCTCTGTCTTCCTCTTGAATTCTGTCTTCCCGTCCTGCACTCCTGAAACTTAAGTTACAAGAAAGGGCAGAGTCCACCCAAAATGCGTGCACATTTTTTTTCGGGCTTCACTGATCCATGAGCAAATTAAACTTTGTTTCTTCTCAATTAAGCAAGGTTTGTGTCTTTTGCTGGTTAAGACCAGATTGCACTGGTTTTCTCTGTAAAATAATTTCAGCAGATCTTCAAAAAATGGCTCAGCAGTTTTCATGAATAATTTAATGTTATTTGGTGACCGGGACGTTGCAGTGGAGGTTGGGGTTTTCTTTGCTTGGGGGTACCCTGTGTTGCCTAGATGTTGCAGGCTACTTTTGCTCCCCCAACTTTTCAGGTTTTCTCAAAGCTTCCACTGCACCAGCTGGTCATTTTGTCGTGTTCTCGTATAATGAATGCCATGATAACTATTTATTTGTACAGTGTTGCATATGAAATGAAGTAAATAATGTGTTTCCTCTCTAAAACTTGGTCTTTGACATATTGGATCTCTCCCTTTCAAGTTTTACAGTCTTTGTTGGAGATGGAAAGCAAGAGGGTCAGGTCCCGTTGAGGAGGTGAAGGGCAAGTTGGGCTGCATCTGGGAAGCACTGGAGTTTTAGGTGCATCAACCATCTCCACAGTGAGCATGACTGATTCACACGCACTTCAAATAAGGGCCAGTGTTGGTCCCTCTGCAAGATCCATCCCCATGGCATGGCCGGGTTTCCAATGCAGGGCTTACTTCCAAGCCCCGAGCCAGGCTGACTGGAGGGGGGCACAAATGCAAAGGCTCTGCTTTTCATGACTGAAAGTCTCCACATGTTGAAATCATGCTGGGAGTATGTCCTAACTGCTCAGGTTTTCTCTTGCATCACTCCTTGTAGCCTTTGTAATAAGCTTTTTGTCTGCAATGTTGCCATCTGAGGAAATAAGGCCTTGAAATGTCTAGACTACACATTCTCAAAGGTTGGTCTAATTTTGTTTGTTCACATTTTTGATTCTCAATCCATGATTTTTAAGAACTGTTGAAGAGCTTCATGTCTTGTTGGCTTTGTTTATATTTCAGAGAAACAGAAAAACACACTGAAAGTAACTAAAATTGAGCACTCTTAAGAGCATTTTTTTTGTAAGTGCCATTGCATGACTAGCTCATTTTAAGTTGGTTTGAAATCGGGTGTTAAAACTCAACTCATTCAACTTTTTTTCAATATAATCTAAACAGCACCTACATAGTGGTTTGTTTTAAGAAAGGCTTACCCTCTCTCATTTACTATGGTTTATTTAGAGGTCAAAATCATTTGCAAACTGTTGAAGAAAGTAAATAATTTGTAAAACTATGTTGAGAAGGTGGGAAATAATGCAAGAAACTTCAGAGATCTCTTATGCAAAATGGTAATACAGCTTCTCCTAACAAGTTTAAGAAAAAAAAATGAAACGGACATAGCCAAATGATTAAGGAAATACTTAAATTTACCATCTGAACAGTTCAACTTTAGAATCAGCTTAATATATTATTAATGTCATTTTTAGAATTTTTTATATTGAGTATTTAAGAATCCATCTTGTACAGGGTTGGTGTTAGATCACACCATATCAGCTAAATTAGGTGGCAAGCCACGAATGTTTACTGGTTTAAGTTTATTCTCTAAGATTATATTGAATGTGTCTTTCAGCGTCTTCTCGACCTCTTCGTCTGTAAGAGTAGTGATCTTCACCATGTCCATGTCCTCCATGTAGTTGTACTTCACCTCAGTGAAGGTCCATCCAACTAGGTTACAAACCCCATCAGTGGTCTGGAGAGTGCAGATTGACTTTTTATGAAGTAAGTTATCAGATGTCTGTAGGATCCAGTTTAGCTCCTGGAAGTCATTCATATCTCGTGGCTCAAGAGTGAATGAATGCATTTTTCTAATCTCCTTCATTCCTGGATTATCAGCTGAAGGGTCACTTTGATCTGTAATGCAATGCTTCCTTTTTATTTTCTCCAAGTACCAGGTACCGTTGTCCTCCGTCAAGCGGAAGATGCCAGGAACCTGAGGCTGATCCTGCCCAGAAACCAGCAGCACTGGCTGCCACATTTGATAGGTACCACCAAAACCACTGTCTACAATGTAGGACTTGCCATCGATCACTACCTTTAGCAGGACATGATCCATGTCAGCCTTATATGTTCTCTCTGCTGGATTGTAACTGTTGCCTCCAAGAATACAGACATCGTACCCTATTCTTTGCAAAGCCCAAAATAAAAGGTAGTTGTTTTCCAGGCACCATCCACCACGTTTCTTTCTCACGATCTTATTGTATGTACGCTCTAAATCCAGATAAATGCTCTCTCCGCAGTGCATGCTGAGGTTTTCAAAGGGAATCGCACGGATATGGTGCTGGAAGATGGCTGTTAAGGTTTTCAAGTCTGCATCCTTATGGGACCCATCATAAGAAATTCTTGAAAAATATTCTTGAATGTTCATTTTGCCTGTGTGAGCAGAAAAAGAGCAGGTTACTGTGAAGGCTCTCGAGGGATTCCTTCCTATTTCTGCAGCACCGGTTAACCGGCCTGCAAAGGTACCTTGTGCTTTTGCCTCATATTTGAAAGAAACCTCTGCCCTTGATAGGGGGTGAAAATAGTTTAGAGCTGACAGTATCATCTGTATTTCTTATTTTTAAAAAAGAGAGAGAGAGAAGGAGCAGGTGAGAATACTGCCTTATCTCTCCAAAAATTTCTTCAGCCCAAGTCACTGTCTGTGTTGCAGGCACCAACAGCACTTGGCACAGCAGATTTTGTTTTTGGTGTGACGACCGGTGACAAAATAATTATAAAGGTGACAAACAACAGGTCTATGGACAAGTTGTTAGACTGTCCTGTGATAGAAGTTGCAACAATTTCTTACTGTTTGTCCTTAGAGTAACAGGGCAGCAATTCTTCACTTATCACATATAATTTAACTAGAAGGGTTTATATGCACGGCTTTAGCTAACGGAGATTAACTTCTCTGTGTGTCATCGTTTCAGACAAGCTCTCGTGTGAAGTAGATTGTTGTTTTATTAATCTCTTTAGTTTCCCTGTTGAGTTTGCACGGTACTTTGACCTTGGCTGTTGGTGTAGAAGGGGAAGATTGTTAATTTTTCTAATTCAAGGGTCATAAAAACTGATAATTATAAAGAACATATTCAAGGCATATTATGTGGTTTTCTGCTTTGTCTTTCACAAAGCAAAGGTTGCAGCTGGAGCTCAAATTGGGTGTATTTTGTGTTATACCGCTTCTCATGTGTCTTCATGAGCAGAAAGTAACTCACCTTTGCTACAGATTGTGTGGCCCAGATGCAAAAGGCACCCGATACCATTTCTAATCATGTGGTATCTGTGATTATTTGTTTTGCCCTTAATATAGATTTAATTTGGCATTTTTTCCACACAAAGATTTCTTTTTTTTTTTATTTCTCAGAACCGCTCACAATCTGCTAAAGTCCGTATTAATTTCTGAAAAGCCTGAGGATTTCTTGCTCCTTGAAACTGATTCCATGTCCCCTGGGAGGATTTTCTGAAAAGTGCCTGGCGCAGATTATGTGGGAGAAATGAGTTTCCCGCTCGGCGCCTCAGCATGGGCCCAGCTGCTCCAGCGGGATCACCCGGGAATTCAGCTGGATCCGGTGCCGGCCGCTGCGCCAGCACCCAGCGCTTCGGGGAAGCTTTCCTGGAACAGAGGGGTGGAAACACCCACCCTGGCCCGTCAGAGGACCCAATCCCTAGACTTTCACCCCAAAAGTCAGGCCGTAACTCACTTGCTCTTGCTGACGGGAACAGGATTCAGGCTGCATGATGCAAAAAATGCAGCAAAAATGTAACCCAATGGAGGGCTGTCCCACTAAGAGAATCAGAAATAAGCATCTAGGCTTCAAAAGAACCAAAGGGACCCACATTAATGAGTCTTTGATTCTGCATTTTGTGCTTTTCTTTCTCCCATCTCTTTCAGGACAGGCAGGGTCTCCCCGGTAACGGTGCTGGCAGGAAGCCTTCCCTCCCACGTCCCCTCGCTCCCCTTGGCAGGAATTCTGCACGACGGGATGGACACGTCTCCCTCCCACGGCCGTGCCCAGCTGGACTCCGACATCCCAAGCTCCATGACGCCTCTTTTCACTCACACAGTTTTGCCCAGCTCTCATGCACGTTCCCAGGCTCAGCGCGGTGGTACTGAGACACAGATATTAGTTCTGCCTGTCTGCAGTCGTCCCTGGGGTATCGGCGTCTCCTCGTAACGAGGATGAGTAGCAGAAAGGGCTCCTCGTTGTGAAGATTCTCCAGGGACGCCCAGGAAAGGTTTCCCTCCAACGCGCCTGTGCAATTTGTTTGATTTTTAACCTGTGTTGCATCTGAGGCACGAGTCAGGTTTTCCATACATCCTGGCTCAGCGGAATCGGGATAGTATAAGTCTCGGGCAGTTGCTCTTTGCACCTGGACGTTGTCCTCGTGCTGCAGCCCGAGGCACTGACCCTGGCGCGGTCATTCCTCCCTTGCAAACACGGGCTGAGCACGGGCGATGCAGGGGAATGTCACAGGGTTCTCCAAGCCACCTCTCGCCCTTTTAGCAAGAGGGATCCAAAAACCAGGCCCTTGGGCACTTACCCTGCAGGCAGCGAGCATCCGACTTTGTGTGCTGGGCTGCTCCGAAGTTCCCAGGAATGCTTGCACTGGGAACTCTGCTCTTAAAGCTCCAGGCTCCCTTTTCCTGCCTGGCAAAGGAGGCTCAGCCTCCAGCAGAGACAGAAAGAAGAGGTATTTTCCTCTTTTATAGACTTTTTTGTTGTGATGGCTTGATTATTTTATTTGTAACAGCATCATGTATGGAAAAAAGAAAGAAATAGGAATGCAATTCATCGTGTTAGTGCTGTAAAAAGAGCTGGAAGATGAGCCCGTCCCCAAAGAGCCTGGAGTATTGAGTGGGCTGAAGCCTCCCGTCGTGCTGAGGGAGAACCAAAACCCTTCAGGGGGACAAGAGAGAAATGCAGTTTGGGGAGCAACTTTTGAGAGTGGCTACAGCCCTGTCCTCAGCAGGTCCCTGGAGCAACAAGGGTCACCACAACCAGTTCATTTCGTCCCGTCCTCAGCTTTAAGTGACTATTGCCCATGCAGTTAAGCACATAGGGGTGTGTTTGGTGCCAGGAGGAGGGGGATTAGGGGGACTTATCTCAGGGAAATACATTCTGAGCAGGCAGAATAGCAGCACCTTTTGTTAACTAGCACGTAAATTGCTTCTTATACAAAGCCACGTACATTGCATAACAAAATAAAAAAGGGACAGTGTTGCTATTGTATTTTTAAAAGCCTTATCTACAAAACATAATCAGGACAACTGCAGTGACTAATGAAGAATCGTTGTGAATTTTTACTTTGGAAGAAATTGTAGTTTGGGGGAAAAAAAACAGATGAATACTTATAGTTCACAATACTTGATTTTTTTATTGGATTGTAATTTACTTAATTATAAGTAAGTGCATAGTTGTAACGCTTCTGTGATTTGTACATAAAGCAACATCAAGCATCATCTCAAAGGGCAATATGATTACATTTGAGTAATTTCTTGTACTAAAAATGTTAGCCTTTAGGTATCTGATTAAGATTTATCCTTTCTCCTTATATCAATATAATTAGCATCACTGCAAACACATATTCATTAGAAGGCATGTGTTTTGGAAAAAAAAATCGTTCTGTGCATGAATTTGAATTCAGCCCCAGTAAAATTAATGTGCAGCAATATTCAGAGCAGCAAGAGCACCCCGTGAGCGGAGGATGTATTCCCGGCTGCCTGATGCTGGATTGAGCAAGCAAACTGTGTGGGAGACGCTTCGGATCCAAAGAGAGCCCCAGAATTGCTGCTTTTTGGATACATCACGGAGAGAACGAGAGTGGTGTTACGTCAGAAATGAGACTGAATTTTCTCCTAATGTTTCCAACCATCAGTTTTAGGCCATAAATACCCACGCTGTAGGTATTCACCATGCATGTCCCAAGCACGGAGCTGCGTGCTTACTGCATGGAGGGATGCAAAACACCAAAAGAGGACAGACTTGGGCTTGCAGTGGCAAAGTGAGCACTGAACATCTTTGTTTTTCCAGCTATTAAATTCCAAAAAGAATATGGTAGTCATTTAAGATGCAGATATGATTTTCCTCAAGTGGCAGTGCAAAGTAATAAGGAAAGAGATATGTTGCCCCACCAGCGCTAGTGGGGAAGGCCCTTAAGTGATGGAAGGGAAAGGGAGCAGGCAAAGCCCCCTTCCAGCTATGCTGGAGCAGAACAGGAGCAATTTGATTGAGCAGGAGGAAATTATCTGTTCCTGAACTAGGGAGACATACAGGAACGGTTGTGAAAATCGATTTCTTTTCCAGATTCATGCTAATATGTTCTGCCTTACACTGGCATAGATGGAAAGGGGAAGCCTAACCTTTAGCACTTGTCAAAAATAGGGGAAAGATGGTATTTAGTATCACTGTATTGAATTAAATCGGGCAGTGTGTTAAAACAGAGACAACTTGCTAGTATTGACGGCTACAAGTTTCTTATCTAGCGTTATGTTGAATTTCTCTTTGAGTGTTTTCTCTATTTCTTCATCCGTAAGGATTCTGATTTCCACCAGATCCATGTTATCTTTATAGTTGTACGTCATCTCCGTGAGTTTACACCCGACCAACGCGCGGATGCCATCGGTGGTCTGCAGGCTGCAGATGGACTTGGTGACGAAGAGGGAATCCGGCGCCGTCTGCAGGTGCTCGTTGCGGGGTCTGAACTCCTCGATGTCTCGTGGCTGCAGGGTGAAGAGATAAACCCGCCGGCAAATTTCTTCATCCACGTTGTGAGAAGTCACAACGCTTTGGTTGGGGACATACTGCTTCCTTTTCACCTTCTCCAGGTACCAGATCCCATCTTCCTCCACGAAGCGAAAGATGCCGGGCATCTGAGGCTGGTCCTTGCCCGCAATGAGCTCCATGGGCTGCCAGAGCTGGTAGGACATCCCAAAACCACCATCCACGATGTAGGACTTGCCTTGAAGGACCACTTTGAGGAGAAGGTGGTCGATTTCATCAGCGTACGTGTTATTCTCAGGGACATAAACTTTCGATCCCAACAGGGTGACATCGTAGCCGAGGGTCTTCAGGGCCCAGGACAAGAGGTGGTTGTTTTCCATGCACCAGCCCCCGCGGTTCTTCCGCACGATCTTGTGGTACACTGGCTCCAGGTCCAGCTCCACGTGCTCCCCGCAGTGGATGCTGAGGTTCTCAAAAGGCACCGCACGGATGTGGTGCTGGAATATCGCCGTTAAGGTATCCAGGTCTGGCTTGTCATAGGCACCCCGGTAGGAAATTCTGGCAAAATATTCTTTGATGTCCATATTCCCTCTGAAAAAAAAGGTGGAAAATATATACATATATATATATATATAGCAGCTTGTGTTGGAAGTGACAGAAGGACCTTGCTCAGAAGGACCTTCCTCATCTGTAAATTATCCATATAGTGCAAATGGCCTGCACCAAATTGCCAGGGAATTTTGCACAGATGCTTGCAGCATATATCAAAAGCAACGAAAAATGCAAAAGTTCCCTCCGTGCCATTTCCGGGCAGCAGCACAAAGTGTTGCCAGTTTCTGCACACTTCCCAAACGTGCAGAAATCTGCAGTGATTGCCCCAGGGCCACAAACACATCTGCACTTTGCAGCCCGCCAGCTGCTTCACTGGGGTTTTGCTTCGCTCGGCTTTTGGCGGCCCTCCAAGCTTCTCCCCACAGCAGCAGAACCACAACTTTATCTATTTTTATCGGTGATTTTTCTTTTGAGACGCACTGGCCCTTATCCCGTGAGACTTTAAACTAGCCTCACCCGACATGACCTCTTTCCTTGTAGGGTGGAAAAATATGTATTTATTCCTTCTTAAAGGCAGAGCCTTGTTGGTGCAGGGTTTTTTCGTCTGCCCATCCACCTCTTACAGTGGTTTTGTAAGCAGCAGTATCTGAAATGTCAGCTGCCACCCAAGCCAGACCTGCTGGGGACTGATAACCTGGCATTAACCCAGCAGATCTGCTGCACCCAGCACCTGCCTTGCTCTGCTCTTAGGCAATCAAGCCATTTTCCGCAGCGTTTCGCCTTAGCACGAGTTCAGCTTCCTCTTTAGGAAGGGCTCAGCTATCAGAAACGCTGCCTTTAAGAAAGGATCTTACCTGCAGATCGATTCAACAGCAAGTGTCTCCCCTGGGTTTGTGTGAGGTTTGTTTTTTAGGCTAAAGCGAGCAGCATGGGTGCTGTCCAGGGACCAGGAGCTGCTCTCCAGCTTGGTATCTTCTCGGGAATGACTTTTCCCTCAACTTGCTTTCGCTTTCCTCTGTCAGATTGCAAAAGCTGAAAGGGAAAAAAAAAAAAAAAGGGGGGAGCGAGCACACCCGGGAGTGAGCCAGCAAAACCCTCCTCACGGCAGCACCGTCCGGAGCGAATGCTTCCTGCAGCGGCAAAAAGGGCCTTTTCCATTTCCATAGCTAGCTGTGTGCATAAAGATAACAGGTATTTTTCCAAGGTATTTGGTTCTTGGTTGTTGGGGAATGCAGGAAATCTTGCAAGGCATTTAAATGGGAGCAGGATTTTCCCACTTTCTCCAGGAGGCAGCGGGATTTCTGCGCAGCCACGTGGAAATCTGCACCCCTGGGCCACAGCAGCAGGCACAGGATCCGCAGCACTGCTGCCTTTGCCTGGTTTGCTCCAGGGAATTCACGTGCATTTCTTTGCTACCCCAAGTTGCACAAAATCGGAGAGAAAAATGAGACAACAGCGTGTCATCTTTGATCTTTGCCCAGAAATTCCCCAGAAATAGGATGCCACTGGCTTTAAGACACTGGCCAAGAGGTAGTGCCTGTGATATACTTATATATATATACTGGAACGCTGGATTCTTTCGTATTAGTAATTATTAAGTAGGTTTCATTCAAATGCTGATTTGTGATGGTTTATTTGCTTTTACTAAATCTGATGGCATCCTCTATCTCCCAAATGCAAGGAGAAATGGCAGGGCTGGTTTAATGACGTTGCATCTCAGCTCTGCAGACTGTATTGCTGCAACCCCAGGTAGTTTTGGAGCTGTTTGCTCTGAGCAAGAGCCCTCGGCGGCCAGCAGCATTTAATTTTGCACTGAGTCCTTCTCTCATCCACCTTCAGAGGCAGAGCTGCTTCTGGCTAACAGCGATTCTTGGGAAAATCCAAGCTTTGGAGATTCTGCCATGTTCTGAAGTCTGAGCAACCGGAAAGGAAGGATAGGGCAGGCTCTGTCCTACCGTCGCTAAAGCGCTTTTAATAGAGGAAAGCTGATCTCAGGCAAGTAAGAACAGTAAATAATATTCATAGCCTATAAACATCTTCATAATAGTGGGGCTTTCTCATGCTTTATATGAATTGGCCTCTTTGTGTAATTATACCTGTGAGCTGTAGCTGTGGCCACGTATCTTTGCGATTTCTATCTAACACATCAGTCACTTGTGCTCCCCTTCGCCTGCTAAAGGATGACATGGGGACTTTTGCCTGCAGGATTATAGAAGGGATTTTTCTGCTGGATTTTTCTTGGGCTTTTCTTCAGTGAGGAAGAGACCAAGTCTCAATTTTAGTGACTTCAGTATCCGAGGAATATTCCTTAGGACTAGTGAGAGTCAAAAATTACATCCTTGGCTTATCTACAGCCAGTGCCAATAGGAGGTTTTCACACAAGCCAGAGCAAAGTATATTAATGCAGGCCTAGGAGACAGCTTTGGTCTTCTGGGCCTTTCAGTCCTGCGGGTTTCGACATAAATCTTTTAAATATAAGTGGTCATAATTCATTTAAATCCCATTACAAGGGGAACAATCGGCTTTTCTACCTGAATGGATATATCTTGCAGAAGGATTGAAGCAAAAAAAAAAAAAAATCCTAGGTAAGTGCTTTGATGAAAAATACATTCATACATCCAGCTTTATTTTGCTGTGTATCATGACTTCTGAAGTGAGAAGCATCAGGGCATGATCAAGGGAGGAGGCCTGGGTGCCCTCATGCTTCTGCCACCCCTGGGTGACACTGTGGGACTTGCATTAAGAAGCAGGTATCCTGCCTCAGAGGAGACCTGGGCCAGTGCTGGGGATTGTGCACAAAACACGAAGCATTTAATAATTCTGCTGAATTTCACTCTGCTTTCACTGTTATTGGCAGCTGCTCTGAAATGAGGCAGTTCACTTCCCCATGCAGGGAAGGAAAGGGCCCTTTTGTTGAGCTCCTTGCAAAACTTGACATGAAACATCCTTTATTAGCCAATAATTTGCCTTTCATCTGAAAAAATATGTGCTTTTGATAGATAAATATACAAAATATCTTGAGAACTTGGCACACGTAGTTCTACCAATTTATATCTGACCTGCATAGAGAGGAGGAGGAATTCAACGGTCTCTGTCACTATCATCAATATGACTAGCAAGAATTTTTAAAATAATTTTTAAAATATTCCCAGAAAAGCAACCAGTGTACAGGCTAAGGGAGAGGCATAGATGTGCATGCTTACTGCAGGGAAAAATGGAGCTTCATTTAACCCTCTCCAGTTCCTTGGATGAGCTCACATCTGGGAGAGTAGGGAGGTACTTATTAAACAAACACTTGCAATTTTTCTGGGCCTGGGATATAAAGCAGGATAAAAAATATTTCAAAGGGATGATGGATCTCAAAGGGATGATGCATCTCAAAGGGATGACACACAATAACTTAAGAATAAAAATCTTTGTGCAGGGGCCTAAAGCAGCAGCAGCAACAGCCATTCGTTAGCAGCTGCCCTTTACTTTCCGGTGATTAAAACTCCAGGATTAAAATGTTAAATTGTGCTAATTCCCTGGGGGATCAGAGAGTGATGCTACTTCCATGGGCTGCACTTTGGGCCTGGTGCAGGCTCCTCCAAAATAAAATCGCAGTTTCAGTGAAGAGGCTTCCCTGGCCTTCGGTGGGAATTAGGATGAGCTCTGACTCAGGCAGTCAGCCTAGAAACATGCAACATGAGGAAGTAATTACACGAGTCCTGTCATTCCCTCTACTTGGATTTTTTTTTTTCTGTAGGGAAGTGGGAGGGAAACCTTTTATCTCAGTGAAGAGTAAGAAACGGAGCATTACAGTGACAGAAAGGGAAAGAAAAAAGAAAGAAAAGAAAAAAACGACGACGGCTTCAGACAACACGTATTCATTATAGTGCAGCAACAGGCATCGCAGGAATAATATACATTGGAGATGACAATGTGTTCCCTCCACACAGCTCAGGAGTGCCAGTCGGGAAAAGAAACGGAAAAACGGAGCATGGAGCCATGTCTGGATGCAAAGAGCTCCCGCTCCCCGCAGACTTACCTTCCTCTGGATGTGCCGGAGTGGGTCTGGAAGTTGCAGGAAGGCTCAGAAACATGAAAATGCTCCTGTAACGATCCTCTTCGTTGATTCTTGGTAATCAGTAGCCACACCATGAACCCAATCCGCCCTTGTCACATGCCCGGAGCTGCGTGTTTGTAGCAGGAAAGGGTTTCCTGATGGAGAAGTGCAAGGCGGTCGAGCAAGGGTTACTGTGGCAACCCGGACTCCGGATCGCTCGGCTTTCCTCCCCGGCACGCCGAGGAGCAGCGCAGCCGGCATCGAGGACACGGGTGTGATTCTGAAGTAGCGCCACGGAGAATAGTGGAACCTCATCCAATGCCTGGAAAAACACATCTGAGAGTAAAGCAAAGCAGGGAATGGGCAACATACAGCTCCATAGGGAAAAAATAAAGAATTTTTTCACACCTGAAATAGGAGGCTGCACCGGGGAGCAGATGTAGCTGTGAGAAATCACACTTGCTTTTGCAGCTGACAGTCTTGTGCACTCTGGTGCATGAGGATGGATGGAAAGACACAACCTGGGCCTCTAGGTGTACAGAAAGAACTAGGAGTTGTGAGACAGATTCTATATATGATCAGTGATGTGTCAAATTATATTCTAGACAACAGAGGGAAAATAATCTATCTGCTATTAGCAAGGTAAATTGTCTTAGCCAGTGTCATCTCAGATCACATCTGCTTCTATATGGCTTGACTGGGAACTGTGTCTTCAAAAATTGTTTCAAGTTACTGAATCTTGCAGGAATCAGTCCCTGCCAAGGAACAGTTCCTTCCCAGAAAGCAGCTCAAAGTCTGCTATATTCCCACAGAGCAGATATCTCTAATATACACTTTTTTTTTCATGCAAGGACTGATTTGATCCTTGATCGTCTGAACTTGTGACTTACCATCTCTTTATGGAGATGAACCTGATTAAAATGACATCATCAACCCTGTATGGTTTTGTTCCATAAGATAAAAGGTATGTCCTTGTCCCTGTACTTT